ACACTTGGTGGTATCTATAAGACTGAAACATGTGACACGTTGCAACCACATTGAGTCCGAGCTGCTTTAGGTGATTTCAGTCAATGGTTTGCACAAACAACTTGACAAATTGCCACATATGTTACTGCAAGAAATATGTCTCTCTCAAGATCTGACATGATGGTAAAGAGTTTGTTTTTACAGAAAAATGTTTTCGACCACATACATTTTAGATTTTGTTATCTGCCAAGTCCCTCAGGGACTTTGCTTACAGGCTGTAGCCGTCACCTAACATGTGTGAACACGTCCGCCTATGCAGACACCCAGTGTATAAGTAGGACCACATCCACATCGCTATTTCTGTCTCACACCATGTCTGCAGGAAACACAGTGTTAGCACCATTTTAGCGCCGCTCATAGACTCTATAAAAGTAAAAGACGTTGCCTCTGGGCCTGAAAAGTGAGCCCAATGCAGAAGTGCCTTGAACCTGCATTCTTCCTATATGTCCATCAGGGAGCGACTTCCCTTATTGCAAAAGATCTCATTACGTAAGTCTTTGAGAAAATGACTCAATTACCTCAGAAAGTAATCAGATTGTAAACATGAGTTCATGGTCTCAATAAACTGTGTTGAAGTTCTCTTCAATACAGCATGATGTTCATTTGTAAATTATGGTGCCATTTAGAGTAAATTAGAAAATAAAGCTGGTTATGCTTTAAGATATGGCTACCTTGTGATTGACAAGTTGCTGCCATGGCCACTTGTGCAATCATGATAGAGGTGTAGCAGTGCATATCCATTCATAGTTCCACCCACTTTTCCAAGTATGGTCACTTTTTTGGCACTGGCCAAAATGCCAAACTCAAGGCTTCAAAACGGCAAAGCTCAGTTTCCAATGGACAGTCACTAGATACTAATGTGGAATAAATAGCCTGAAGACGTAAAAGAAAATGCAAGCTGTTAAGCCATGATTTTGCCAGCTGAATTGATTAAAATAGAAGTATATATGTGTATAAACACGGACAACTGAAAAACGTGGCTAAAATGGCGCCTGTGTAGACACACCAACGACTCTATTCACTTTGGCCTTATCATCACTATCCTGTCATACAGAAAAACTGATTCCAAATAGTTTGAACGGTTTTATAGAGTAAAAAATACATATTATATGCAAAACTTCTGTACTTACAATCCTCTTACACACACAAAAACAATACACACCCAGTTTGACGATCTGTGTGTGAATGCCTCAATCACTATGGATATAATAATTTGTTCTAGCAGCTCAGTAGTAGATGAGACCTGGAATTCTATCAAAACTGCGCTCACAATAGTGCACAAACACTCCCTCTCACACACACACACCTCCTCTTTATTACTCTACACTCCAATCTATTTGCCATGTGCGTGGGAACTCCCTGCCAAACCTTTACTGTTCTTCCCTCTCTCTTTTCTGAACTTGTCAAATCATTTAAAGTGAATACATGTCGCATAGATTTCAGTCCTTCATTTTTACAATAATGGCTTTTCAGTATTCAAGGCATCGGTCTGAGTCAATGTGGCGTTGTAAAAACCTTGTCTTTGACCTACAATAACTGATTAAAGACCATCCACCATCTGCACCAGAGGGAAACGTTCCATATAACCTTTTCCAGAACTTTCCAGACTTACTGGTTTGAAACCCAGAGGAGCACAAATCACTGTGAAGACTGGCTGAAGTGGAAAGGGGGACCAAAATCAAGCAAAACCTTTTTCTCATCATAGCATGTCATCGCAAGTGGAGAGCAGCACGAGCCAAAGTATTGCAGTAAAGATGCAACAATCAGAGCAAAGCAATAAACTGCACATACAGAGAGTTGATATTATCTTGGCAAGGTGTACGAGAAACCTGTGGAAACCCGTTCATGGTTGTCTGAACAAAATGTACAGTATTACTTGTCCAAAAAATAGGTCAAATACTGTTGAATTGTGGTCCTTTTCCAGGCCATTATCATCAGCATACAGAGAAGCAATATGAGCAAATAATAAAAAAATCCTAAACCTAAGTGGAGGTGTAGATCATCCTGGACGCACACAGTGACAGCAGCTATAAGCGCTCCTGTGACAGCTCTAGAGGAAAATAAACATGAACACCAAGAGATAAGCATTTCTAATCCTCAGGAATAAATACACAGCTGAGTGACAGTTTAAAGACAGAGCCTATTTGTATGGGCGTACTTCTTCGTGGCAACATTACTCTCAGGCTGCGTGTACAGTTGTCAGGCGGATTTTTTTCACTCTGCAAATAGCACCACTCTCTCAACACAACCTGCACATTAGTCCTGTTTTTTTAAAATAATGCCCAACAGATGAAATTATAGTCAACATATTCGCACGCGATGCAAAATTATGCCTGATTTCTTGTGCATACACACAAAAAGCCCATAAAACCCACACACACTCAAACGCAAGCCTGATGTTAATGTGAAAACCACACATTACTGTATAATCTCCCCATTTATAGCGGCAATTGTCAGTCAAGCTGTTTTATGTCAAGCTGGCCACTGTAAAACTACAAGTGTGCCGGGGTGAGTGCCATCGCAGGTATGAGTGGATCACATTTCATCGAGAATATCTTTTTAGCAGATGGTAGACTTTACAGGAAAAGTTATGATGATTGTTGTGGACTCTGATTGGCAGCCACATTGTTAACGTTGGAAAGCCAGTGGGACGCTGAGAGGGAAGGTGAGAGGTGAAGGAGAGAGCACAAAAAGAAGCGTGTGCACGAACAGGCTTGTGAATCAACCAGTCTGCACATGCATGATTTCAGACACACAACAGTTCATACTAACATGCTAAATGATGGTGCACATGGTAAACATTATACCTGCTGCTAAACATCAGCATGTTGGCATTGTCATTGTAAGCATGCTGACATGCAGCACCACATAGCACTACATAGTAAATAGGGTGTGATTTCGGATCTATCCTTTGTCTTGTTTCATGATGCGACCACTTTCTAGAGCTGCAAATTTTCCGGGTAGATTCTTAAAACAAACCTTTCAAACGCTTGCCTTCTGCATTGTGCACCATTCTGAAGTTCTAGGACACACACAAAGTTACTCATGTCCAC